AAGGGTCGTCGAGGATCGATTATCGAGGAGGCTGTCTGGAGGAGCCGTAACCGAGGATACACTGATTTAGAGGAGAGAGGAGTCTCTCTGGAGGAGCTATAACCGAGGGTACACTGATGTATTCTCCGGAGTCGATTTCAGCCAACAGTGTTGTTTCCGTTGTGATTATAAGTTATTTAAGATGATCAAATGTGCATCAGACTTTCTGCCCTTTACCGTTTGTTTACTCACTAATCACATCTCCTCTGGATGTTAGGCTATCTATCATACAACTGCTTTCATTGTGAGGTGATGTTTACAGTGAGAACAGCTGCTGAGGTCAGTGCATAAAGCAGAACAGTGTGTATAATATATATCGCTCAATAATATATGTACCAGGCCTACATTTCACACTTTATTTGTAGGCTTTAGGAGATATCTACAAATAGACAGTAGGGTTAGGGTTAGGGAGTGTATAGGTGTCTGTTGTAATGAATATGCCGCCAGCAAAGGGCGTTGTTGGACTAACAGTAGGTGAGTGTGTGTGTGTCTGTTTGTGTGTGTGTGTGAGAGTTGATGTGCCAGGCAGACAGGCAGGTCTCAATATGTTATCTGACATATAATTGGTCAAAAATTGTACATTCTCCGTTAGCCTACGAGCTCCCCGTTTGAGCAAAGGACTATTCCTTCTCAATGTAGCATGACATTGGATATGTGCTGAAGTTGTCCTGGATTGGAATTTTTCCGATCATTCCCTTATGAGGAGTTTGCAGAAATGTCCTTAAAATGCATGAGAAACGCACATTTTGTAAAATGGCCCACTTTCTGGAGGGCGGGGCTAATAAAAGCAAACTTGAAATATGTCCGCAATCATAATAGCAATGTGCATACAGCGTTTCGTGAATATCGCAAAAACTATATGCGAGTAGTTTGGAGTAATTTGCTACATGTAAATCGTCAAAAATGGTGTATTCGCTGTTAGCTTGCGACCTCCACGATTGAGCTCTCAAAAAATGTCTTCGCAATTTAGCATCATATTGGATAGGGGCTGAACTTGTCCTGGATTGGAATTTTTCCGATCATTTCCCCGGGAGGAGTTCGCAGAAATGTGCTTAAAATGCATGAAAAATGCACATCTTTCAAAATGGCCGACTTCCTGGGGGGCAGGGCTAATGGAATCCATTTACAAATATGTCCGCAATTCCATGAGGAATGTCTGTGCCAAAATGCGTTAAGTTCTGAGAAACTATATGTGACTACCACACAATAGGGGGCGCTAGTGAGCAATTTTTTGGAAAAATTACTTTATTTTTTTACATTCTCGAAAAGATCGTGGGCTCTGACGTGTGTCCGAAGTTTTGCGTCCGAAGCTCATTTTATGCTATCGCAATTTAAAAAAAATGTATAGGCCACGCCCACATTCTGAATTTGTTGCGACACTTTAAATCTGAGTTTGTAGTCACCCCGAGAGTATGTGTAAAAATGAACCTATCTACCAAAATCTGTGATGTTTGGATACATTGTTGATGAGTTATGAGCATTTCTTTCTAAGCCCCGCCTTTTTGCGAGTACGTTTTGATTGACGGTGGCAATATTTATCGTCCTAACATGCTCATTTTCTACGGTAATGTGTCTGACCCTCCACCGATGCTGTATACGAAGTTTGGTGTTGAAAAACTGAAAATTGAAATTTAAGTGAATATTTAACTGTTTTGAACATTATGCTAATTTAAATGTAGGCGGAGCTTAGGGTTCCAAGAGGATTATTTGTAGAGCAGATCCACCCGGATATGTGTGCAACATTTCAGGTCATTCGGAGTTACGGTGCGACTTTGTAAATGTATTCCGAAATGGGATTTTGATAGGTGGCGCTAGTGAGCAGGTTGGAATATTTAACCCATTGACTCCAGAATATTGAATTTTTCCCCGGTCCTGGCGTCCGTGCAAAATGATACAACTTTTGAAGCATCCCAAAGACCTCAAAAAGAGGAAACGCCAGCACTATAATAATAATACCACGCCGTCGGGTCCTCGCGCTCCGTGCTCGGGCCCTAATTACATTACATTGCATTTTACAATTGCAATTACAGTAGGATAACATTATTTATTACATTTAAGTGTGATTATTATTTGTCCAACACAAATGTCAATGATAGGGGCCTTTCTTGTCCAAAATAGAGGAAAACTACATATTTATAAATGACAGTTTTTGGTAAGAGAGAAAGCCAGGAAATGTGATGTTAGCAGATAGAAATAATAGCTGAGGTTTACTAAATACAAAGTAATGATAACTGCTCCTCTGTATATTCTTCTTATCTCATTTTGCCTCTTTTCTCATCATTTTGTTGGGCTTTTCACCTTCTTTCTTTCTCATTTCTGCCCTCTATATCCTTTGCTATGTCTGGTCTTTTGTGTCTTCTTTTCCTTTTTTCACCTTCCTCCTTTTTATCCTCTTTTTTCACTCCCTCTCCTCCTCCTCCCCCATGTCAAATATCTCTGTCTGTCCCTTATTTTTTCCCTACCTTCTCCCTGTGTTGTTATTATGTACCTACTTATCTCTCTTTCTTCCTCTATTTGTGCTTCTCTGTCAATAGGAGCGTATAAGCTTTATTTACATACAGCCTGTCACTTCTGCCACAGAGATATACTAATCCATTGCTGAGCCTCAGAGGAGTATAAACACAGTGTTTTTGTTGTCACTGTTGACTGATTTGGGATCAGCCTCCAAAAAAGCAAATCCTTGGCCTTCATCACAGGAGGAGAAATTAAATCTGTCACCGAATCAGCTTGAAAGCTAAACACAGGGGGAACTGACAGGATTCTGTCCAGACAAACACTGACACTCAGTGGCCAGAAATGGAATAACAACCTTTCCCGCTGCTTATGGCCATGCACAAGAAGGAATTCTTATTTGCATTCAGCAGAAACGCATCATCACATAAGCTTTGTTGCATAAAATAGCAACATTTGTCTACCGTGACAACTGAATTCATAAACTGAATGTCTGGTTATTTAACCTACAAACAGCTACAGTATTCTTTGTTCCTATATTTATTATTTATTCCCATTGTGTTCAGAAGCCAAGTGACCCTCCATGAGAGAGGGCCTACACAGATGCAGCAAGAAACAGATCTAAAGTACAGGTGAACGAAAATCTAAATAAAAGGAAAACTACACATGAAAACACGTAACAATGGGTAGAGAGAGATGGAGAAGAAAGCGTAAGGTAGCAAAGGCAGACAGATCTCACAGCTAAGGAAGAGAGAAGTGAAGAAAAGAGAGATGTATGTGAGAGTTTACCAGGGTAATGGAGAGTGTCAAAGTGTATGTGAGGGTGTATCTTTGTGTAAGGAGGATGTGCTAAAGAAAGTAAGAGAGAGCAAGTCCATAAAACATTGATACCACCTTTCCCTCTGTGCTGTCTTTTAAGTGAAACAGCTGGTGGAAACGAATACAAAGTACATTATAATAGATAACCATTGAGCAGAGACCATCATAGGAGGATCCATCAGCACACAGAAATTGCCCTTTACATCAATAATTATGAATTTACACACATTTGTTGTATCCTCTTGATAAAATATGTCTTATATATATATGTCTGTTTTTAGATAAGTACAGTAGGCCAAAGCACAGCGCTAGATTTGGCATATTGTGACAAAAATTCTTCCAAACCAACCGAGAGAGAAAGAATGAAGCAGAACAAATGAGAGGCAGTGAGATTAAGAGAGAGAAAGAAACACCTCTAGAATTTTCTCAATTCTCCCTGCTTACTCCATTTCCGAAAATAACACGATTTTCACACCTGAAACCATTTCTACGAGAGCTGGGAAACACAGATAAGCGCGTGTGTTTGTGTGTTCGAGTGGGTTTTCCTGTCTGTCTGTCAGAATAATGAGACACCTAATGCCGGCACACACACACACACACACACACACACACACACACACACACACACACACACACACACACACACACACACACACACACACACACACACACACACACACACACACACACACACACACACACACACACACACACACACACACACACACACACACACACACACACACACACACACACACACACACACACACACACACACACACACATACCATGTATACATCACTTCAGGGGACATTACATTGACTTGCATGCATTTCCTGGAGACTTATCCTAACCTTAACCATAACCAACACATGTCTAACCCTAACCCTAAACAAGTCTTCACCCTAAAATTAATGATTCCCCTCATGGGGACCTCCATTTTGTCCCCATAAGGGAGGCGAGTCCCCACACGTGACTGTGTAAACAGATTTAGGTCCCCACAAGTATAGTAATGCTAGGCCACACACACACACGTTCTCACAGGATGCAGTTCCAGAGGCTCTTGACTCAATCAGATAATGATGACTGATGAGTGTGTCAGACATAGATGGGCTTACCAGGCAAAATAATACACATACAAAATGACAGCAGGTAGCATTGAAACAAAGCCTGAGACCATAAAGTAAGACAGCCTCTGTGTCATATCAATTTAGCCTTAGAAATCCAGTATTGGCCATGCTGGAGTCTAATCACAATGTCTCAATTGTTTCACTTGTTGGGGGTCTTCACATCTTGTACACATTTTACAAGGCTCACAACATCCTTTTGTCTTCAAAAAACAAAGTTATCTTATTCAGAACAACTACAAGTAGAACAGAACACAAAATGCAAAACTATGAATAAAACAAGTTCAAAACGTTAACCAAAGATGCAAAGTTTGTCATTAGTTTGACTTGGAATAACCTCCTCAGCACATTCAATACTGACAAATCAGAAAATGAATACGAACATGTTCAAATGTCACTATCAAATCAGCCAGTTTTGCCATGTGGAAACCCAACAAAAACACACCGGATGAAACAGCAAGATATTTGCAACTGATATAACAAATTAGAGAGATGCAACAGAGGAATGAAATGTATGTAAAAGACAGAAATAGAGAGTGTATACAAATAAAATGATCATCCTACCTCCAGCGATGGCAGTTTTCTTGCCCACCGTCACAGTGACAGAAGTGGTGGCGATCACTATCCTCCCTGCTGGTAGAGCAACAAACACAATTAGCAATCATTTACAGAGCGATATCCATACATGCATGGAGAAACATGGGTGTGTGCATGCACTTTACAAACACACACATATTCCTTCCAGCCATGTACACATGCATGAGTGTATGCGTGCACAGGAGCTGAAAAGGAACTTTCTGAACTATGAACTCACTGAATACATCATTTGAAAGTCTTTGGACACTTACTGTGGTAGTGGCAGCTGAAATGTCAGTCCAGATATGTACATTGTTTCGTAAATATGTGGGTAACAGTCCGAGGTGGACACGGGCCATGCATTCATCTGTGTCTATTCACAGCCGTCATGCCAGCTGATGCTAATAAAACCAAGACAGATGAACCTTTGAAGCGTTATGCAACAGAGTGTGAGAGCTAATCAGCTAATACACTCATAACCAAAAGACTGTGTGTTTATAAGTGCCCCATGTTTATATATTAAGAGCTATCCACTCCTTTTGAACAACACATCTATGCATTCATGACAATTAAGAAATCCTTGGATGAGATGCTTTTTTTAGTTCCATTAACTGTTGTAGAATGTTTTAGTAACAGTAACACTGTAATAAATCCATGTACTCTATGAAAGCAGATGTTTAATTCATATTCAGTGAAGAAAGCTACTGACTCAACACAATGCAAATGAACCCTGAAAGTTGACTTGTTCCCTGAGAGAGGAGAGGAGGTTCCCATCCTTTAATTGCATGCTCATGCAGTGAGAGATAGAGAAAAAGAGAAGGATGTGGAGGAATAAGAGATAGGGCAGAGCTAGAAGAAATAGAAGAAAGGAGAAACAGAAAACAGAGCAAAGCACTTGTCATGCTTTTGAAATTAGAGGTGAGGAACGAGGATGGATAAAGAGAGGACGCATGCCAAGTACAAGTAACGTTTTCCTCTACCCTCCTCCTCCACTTCTGCCTCCCTTGGTTTCCTCCCTCCCTCCTCCGCATGGAGCTCCACCTCCTCTGCACTGAAGGTGGCGCTATAGTCAGCCTCATAGCCCCTGAATATATCTGAACACAACAGACTATGTCTAGCATCCACCTAAAGATATACATTTATAAGACATGTTGTGTACATTTGTACTTAATGCCTGAGTTTAAAATGATGGCAGAATTATGAAATGTTTCATTGTATTAATGATGAAAACATTTATTGCCATCATAAAACTTTAGAAATAGTACTTATTTCTTTATATTGTTCAGTATATTTGAACTATAACTGTACAGTAATCCATACTGTATATGGAGAACATCCAGCTGTATAGAATAGGTACAATCATAAAAAACCTAACCTTGAATAGAACTAAACAAATGTAATTAAACATTTAAGAGGGTGACACACTGGATATGTACGCACACCCTGTGTCATTAGGAAAGGAAGAGTTATCAGACTAATATTTGTTGAGTTTACTTTAGGTCTGTACTATTTATTAAAGATTACATTCAAATGCTGTGTCTGTTGTTGCTGCCTAAAGCAGAAAACATGTTTTATAAAGCACTTTAAAAATACTTTTGAATCTTGCAGAGCTAAATAGGAAAATGAAATCAAGAGGCAGAGCAGGGTCAGGCTAAAAGCCCTACTTTGGACTGACTTGAATTTATAAACTGCATCTACAGATGATGTTAAGTGTTAGTATGATGTGATGATAAGTGTGATGACAGTTACCATTGTCAATTTGGAGATCATTTGCAAAATTCTCAGAATAGGACTATAGTGGAGAATATATTTAAATAAAATATCCTTTAAGACTGTTTTTCAAACATGTGTTGGATACAAACGACTTAAATATAAAGTAAAGTAAACAGAAAGGAGCTGCTGAGGACTGGAGGCTGTAGAGAAATAACTTGTCACTGAGAAATATCCGGCTCAACCTGCGGAACATTGCTGAGAAAATTGGATTTAAAAAAAGCTAAGGGATTGTTTCGTGTGTCCGAGTGTGTGTGCATGTGTGTGTGTATTTGCAACGTAAAGATTATCTCCACTACCTCTTGTCTCCTGTCTGGGCATGTAGTACAGAAACTGTCCAGCTGGGTTCTCGGATGCTCTGCGGTACCACACTGGGAAATGGTCCAACGTGAACATATTCTCCTTGTCTGTGGAGGTCAGGAAAGACCTGGGGAGAGATAACAATATGCTTATGTAAAAAAGTAATGATGGCAACAAAAGAAAAGAAAGAAGGTTGAAATGGAGGATAGGAAAGAGAGGTCAATAGAAAGATTGGGGATAGCAATAAAAGTGAGTATGGCCCAATTCCAAACCACCCTAAAGTCACACTCACACCTGAACAAGGCTCCCTTCTTTCAGGGGGTAAATACATCAGCAAGCTTTCAGACAAACTCCCCTCTCCGGCAGAAACAGGAAGTGCCGTAACTTTTCGTAACAAGGTTTTCAATCAGCATCTCTTGGACAAAAAATATGAACTCAAATAAAACTAAAAAAATCTTTAATGCCGTTTCTTTCTTCTTCTAGTTTTTTTGTAAATCTTTTTGATTAAAATTAAAATGAAAATCAAACGACTTTGGGAGTAAGAACAAATAACAATCATCCGGGATTAATAAGAGTTGTGAAACAGGAGGCGGAGCAGCCTCCCTGTCTGTGTTCCCGCAGTGCGCTGGCCTCACATCCCCGGACTGAGAGACAGACTCGGAGGAGCAGAGTGATGTCAGTATTGTTTATGAAGCAGGGTAAAGAAAGTATATTTCTTAAATGAAAATACTATTTATTTACTTTTACAAACAGTGAAGCAGTTGGGCAGCTGTAGCAGATGTATTGCAGGACATGTGTTGGACACAGACTGTGTGTGGTTGGAGTCTGTCTTACAGGCAGGTTGCAGTGTAGCATCAGAGGAGACTGGGCCAATTCTCAGATTGCACCACTTAGAACTAACTTGTGAATGCAAAGAGAGATGATTTTTATATCATTTTATTCAATAACAGCAACCAAATTAAACAGTATTAAGTGATTTGAAAATATGAATACAGTTTTGACTAAATGTTTTCATAATTTATTTTTTCCCGGTGAAATCTTTTACCCTCTCAAAGACCGAAATCAAGAACCGAAAGAACCAGAATCGAAAAGCAGAACCGGAATCAGAACCGGAATCGTTATATTGCAAACGATAACCAACCCTATTCATGACGGACACAAACAACAGTGGGTCGGTCAGGTAGTGCAGCAGGTGAAGTCAGGACCGATGCAGACTCGCTGTTGGAGGGCTTGATAACACTCCCCCTCCCCACTTGTTTGTTTGGAACGGCACTTAATGAGGCGGACCCTCCACGCAAACGAAAAAGGAGTGAAAGTGTGTAGGGATCGGGTGTAGGGGGCAGTTTTGGAATCGGGCCTAAAGCTCATGATTGTACTGAAAACCAGCTTGCATTGACCACTAGAGGGCCACCTCTAACCTTGATTTAATTTCAGCTTCAATCCAGCTCTTTAATCAGTATCACTCTCATATGAACAGTTTTATCGCCTTATTTAACCAAATTCAAACCTTTTGGCCGTGGACTTTATCGTATGAGTAATTTGATGTGATCATACTAATTTAAAATCGGCCTCATGTTTCCTACTTACTTCCCAACTCTTTTCTCAACACCAGCGTATCTCTGGAATCTCATCAGGCCTGATCGGGTCCCCATGAATGCTGTTTCTACACCCTCCTCCATACTGAAAGAGAGAGCAAAAGAGAAAATATGAGTAAGAAAAGAGGTGGAGCTAGATAAAGGGGAAGGGTCCATGCCTTATCTCCTCATTTATTTACACATTTGTGTCTATATTTACCCAGATGCGTTCAGCATTAGAGCGGTCCAGTAGGCTTCCATAGGAGCCGTGACCACAGCATCAAAAAGAGTTTGCTGCAACAACTGTACATCACCTGTTGAGGGGGAAAAGGACAAAGATCAAAATCAACAACAATAATATCAATAAAGATCAAAATGACTGCATAAGAAAAAAGAAAGAGTAAGACAAAGATTAAATGTCAGGCATTGAATGGAGCCAACATAATACTACCAAAAAAAACTAATTAGTGTATCCCTGTAAGTGCAGTTTATGTAAAAATAAGAAATCACATTGTACCTTCTAAAAAAGGCACTTAGTAGACTAATTTCAATTGTCTTGAACACACTGTACAACTACAAATAGTTTGGTTTGAATTCTAAATCAATAGTGACAACCTTTTCTTAATTTGAAGTAGATTTGAAAATAAAACAATTGTTCAAAAGATCATAAGGCTGACATGGATCAGTAATATGTGTTTAAGGATATTTCAGTGTTCAAATGACTTTTGATCCTGGTGTGCATGTAAATACACAGGATTATAATAGTGGTTGATTTTGAGGGTTAAAGTATGTTTAGTGTTTTCTCAATAAAATATGATTTGCTAAAATGTCAACCTACAATCCAGATCAGGTTCTTTGCCAGTGAGGTATCGCACCACAGCCTGCAGCTGGGTCAGCTTACGGTGGGCCGGGTCAATGTCTGTCTCACAGTAGGTCCTGCAAGCACACACACCAACACACACCACACACACACACACACACACACACACACACACACACACACACACACACACACACCACACACACACACACACACACACACACACACACACCACACACACACTACACCACACACACACACACACACACACACCACACACACACACACACACACACACACACACACACACACATCACACAACCACATCTACATCACAAAAATGTACTGTGGTCATATTTTCATGAACAGCTAAAACCACTTATATAACTACAGGCTAAAATCAAATAATATCTATGGTATGCAAGTTATACAGTCCTCACCATTCACTGGCTATGGTCAGGTCTGGAGCCAGTAAGTCATGAAGACCTGGAGCGGAAAAAAGAAAGCAGACATGAGAGTGAGTGTGAGGATCACAGACATAAATACAAATAAACTAAATCAGAAAGGAAGACTGACCCTCCTCAACAGAGACGTTTCCGATGAAGATATACTCTCCATATCCTCTGGTCAGCACGATACCCAGACTGTCAAATATAGTATTTTGTTATTGACAGGAGTAATCATACTTTTACTCACTATTACTTCCTTGTTGCTTAAGAAAATTAAAACAGAAGAGATATTTGTTTTTTTTGCTGTTAATTATTTCACACAGGTAGAGGTGTTGCTTCATTAAATATGGTTGGTATTTAAAAACTAACACTTTCACAATTCTGTTAAGTTGGTAACAATCCAACAAACCTGAACGGTGTCTCATTGATGACGGTGTAGAAGTAATCATTCTTCAGGAACATCACCCTCGTCTTTGAGAGACAGAGAGAGGACACAAGTTTGAAAAATAATAGTGAACATGGAAAAAAAGAAGAGTTTGTATACTAAAATACAAGTAGATGAGTAGAACTTTCCCATCAAATGAAATCAATCTTCGATAAGACAAAAAGACAATAAAATCCCACAGGGAAAAAAAGAGAGGAGAATCTAAACTCTGATCGAACAGCTCCAGTTGCTCTCCTCCTAACACACCATAGAAATAGGTACTCACTCCTTTATCCACTGAAGTTCTCACGTCTAAAGACAACGTTCCAGTTTCTCCTTTAACCATGGCTGTCCTCAGCTGAAACAGGACACACTTAGCACTTAACACAACTCACATTAACATACAAGAATATCAAAACAGAGATTTGAAAAAAGAGAGTGTGTGAGAGAGTGCTACTCACTTTCTCCTCTGTGTCTTCCCATTCCACCTCTGCCAGATCAACACTGTTATAATTGGGTTTTGGCTTCAGCGTCTTCCCCTCTTTATACTGTCACACACACAAACAGGTAAAATCTTTAGTAACCTATCCCATGTTATGTTTGGTCATTGCAAAACATATGTCACACAGGATTTTAAAGTTCCAGCAGTTTCTCAGCTGTACATTATGATCTTTGTCTGTACCAGAGGTCGTAGGTCAGGATGAGACAGGATGTAGCCATTGTTGGTGATAAGGTAGCCGTAACCATGTACACCCAGCTAGAGACAAAAAGAGTAAATAAGGACGCAACAACACAGATCATTACCAAGCATTCATTAACACCATATTGTGCATTAAATGTCACTGACATTCAGAGAAGACTCAAGACAGCATGTTTACAGTATTTCATCCTTGTTTGTGACACGGTATATGTTTTGAATGGTTTACCTTGTATCTAGGAGCTAATCTCATCAGTTCTCTCAAGGCCACGTCTGTCCCTACCACTCCCAGCAGAATCCCATGAGACAACTGCAGGAAACACACAGCAGCTTCATATACAATTGCAGGTAGGGTCTGTTGAGATTAATGGTAATTAAAAAGTAAATACTTACAGTCTCTTCCTTTTTGCTGAACACAGGCATGGCTACTGAGGTCATCAGCAGGAGGCTTTGGGCCTGAGTGTTGAACAGCTATGGTACACAAACACATACACAAAGTTACTTACTGTGTTGTTTTTGTTTAATAGCTAAAGTAGTTAACTATCTTATGAGAAAACAACTGAAAATATAAATTAAGTGGGTGAAGTTAATTCCTGTTGACCAAAGGTGGACAATGAAATGAAATGGTAATAGACTGGACGGTGATAATAAACTAAGTTGTGCTAAATCTGTCTGAACCCACACACATTAACTAAACTAAACGTTGAAGGTAGGAGATGTAAGCTAACTAATATTGCCGTACATTAGCTGTTAAAGTAGGTAAGTAAAACGTTTTAGAAGTTGTGAAGAAAAGTTTTAAATATATTAACCGCAGTGAAACAAAAATACCGTAGTGAAGTTCGTTTAATGTCGCATAATTGAAAGACATGAACTACGGTTCCAGCCAGAACCTTTGCTTTCGTCTGCAGTTAGAGGACGGTTAGCCTACATCCGGGTTATTCTTAATACATCCATGCTGGCGGGATAACATAAGTGAATCATATACAAGGAAATGTCTTTCGAATATCCAACCCAGCGCTGATCCAACCTAAAACTAACTTCTATGTGCTGGTAGTAACGTCAAAGCAGCAGGTTTCAGCGGGAAATAAGTGAACAAGCTCGGCTAACTAACTAAAGGATGAGCTAAGCTAACTTTCATATTTGAAAAAATTGTGAAGGCTACAATAACCAGAGATACTAACCGAGACAATACATTACACAAAATATATATGCTGTATTTTTTATGACTAACACTAGCTAAAGCTAAAGAAAAGGAAGTCTTAAACATTAAAGCTCTTTGTATGATTACCTCTTTTGTTGTCTGGAGCTGAATGTGAAGATGGACAAGGACAACAAGCATGAAATGGCAGTGAAAACATATGCCACAATTTACAGATGAAAACAGATAATGGAAAATAAGGAGGAAAAATAGATGCACTTGAACATAAAACAAATCTTATTTAGAATGTAGGCCTAAGTACATTCTAAATAAGATTTGTTGCTGTACTTACCTTACTACTTAGTAAGTACTTATTAAGTAGTAAGTACTTCCATATTATTTACTGCGTATTGCATATGATCAAATTGTTATGAGTTTATAGATCAAAAACATTATTTAGCTTTTTGTAGATTTTGAGATACAGCCATTTTATTATTATAAAATAATAAAACCGCATTACTTATTTGTATTCTTATGTAATATAAATCAGTGTATGTTGCCCAGCAGGCACACTGATAATGGGAGAGGCAGACTGACCACACTGTCCATATAGGCCTCAGTCCAGATGATGTCATGATCGTGGTTGATGACCATTGGCCGGCTCAGAACATGGAGATACTCCATAACGTTTTCCTGGACATCAGCCAGCGTGGAGACGTGTGTGTAGTAACCTGCAGAACACACAAATACATGTACACCGAAAAATTAGGACCCATAAAATGTAGCAAAGAAACCATACTATATTTATCTTTCTGCTTCTGGCCTTTGGGTATTACATTTTGAGCAGCAAACTAATTTATCCGACTTCAAAAACGTTGTATTCCCAAATACTCTAAGCTTTTTAAATGAAAAAAAACAGCAATTTTTTTTAAAGCTTGGCTTAGTCTGAGGTTTGTGTCATTTCTACAATGACGTCAATGGGATACCTGCAGTGAAGCTGCTCAGTGACAACAGGCTACGGAAGCACTGCCAGATATGAATATGTGAATGTGTGCAACCTTTCTTCCATTTGTTATTCTCCCCAAGAATGTTTCTGTGAATATAATTTATTAATCCATCTTAAAAAGCAAAAGGGAAGCTGTTTATAGGTTTTCAAGCAGTGTAACATAAAACATGCCTGTCTATCAATTACAGATATTTAGTTGTTTGTAGAAGGGAGTGTGTGCACCAGAAGGGATTGCACCTGTTACCTATTACACACAGAGACACACACGCAGAAAGGATATTTTTTGGCAAGGGATGTGTTTACAGAGTATCTGTGCTGATAATCAGGTATTTAGTCAGGGATTTTTGATTTGCACAGAGCAGGATAAAGTGATTATTTTCAGGTCTGAGCTGCTGCATGACCCCATGTAATTCACAAGAGGGCAGCACCTGATACCCAGTCCCATACAGAACCACCTGGGGACCCCACAGAGGGCCGACAACAACAGACCTCCTTTCTTTCTGTTTAATTTAAGACTTAGCAAGTGATTGCAGTAGTTTCCACCATTAGTCTATTTTTAGTTGCTGAAATAACCCAAACTTCCTATCCACATTTTTGAGGCACAACCAGGGATTCAACCTAGCAACAATTATGTCCAAAACGCAGACTATTTTGACCATATGGCTACTGATTCATCCTCATTTTACCCTTGTTGTTGCAGGCAATCCATTTAACATTGTCAGCAAATGTCATCTCTCGGCCAATCAGATAGGTGAACACTCGAACCTGGAGAGGAAATAAAGGATTAAGTGAGAATGTTACCCCACACAGCTTTGATTAAATACAAACTGTCAATGCTTCATGTTTGTGTGCTCACAGCACATTTCACTGTGCTTGCAGTTGATCCTGCTTGTGTTTGTATTTGTGTGTCATACCCGTCGTTCTGGCCAGTTGAACTCTTCAAAAACATCCTGGAAGTCCTCCATGGCTCCGTCTGTTATCAGCATGATGGCCTGGTTACACAGGCTGCCCTGGCCCAGTGCTGCAACCTAAACACACACACAATGTACTTGACATTGGATATTTGTACTGTAGAAATCAGCTGATGCAGACCTGTGAAATGTGTAGTCAGACAGTCAGACACAAATGAACTCATTTTACACTGCTATCAACGCTATATATGGTTAAGACCTGGCAGAGGCACAAACCTCGTTGAGGATCTTAAAAGACTCCTTCATCGCAATTTTCACTTTGCCCTCGCCTTTGACATGAAGTTCATCAACCAAAAGCTTGAAATGCTGCAGAGAGAAAAAACAACAACAGATAAATACATTAATAGACACTGTCACTTAGTCAACGATGTAATCCTGCAGGTAAATGCAGGTAATGACAGAACGACATGGAAACAGAGTTTATGAGGAAGTGAGTGAAAGTGTGAAGCCTCAAGGACGGATAATCCCCGGCTCTCTGGCACACTGACCACTGATAAGGAGGTTAAAAGGTTATCAGGATTAGTGAATATCCACACGCACACACACAGAGACACTCTGACAACCACATTGTTTTGGGTTCTACCACCATGCAGACCGGATATAGAGGGGGCTCTTGACAGAATGTTATATTCCCTTGAAGAAATACAACCAAACTGTAAATCATTACTCTAATTATTGCTGCAAATTTAACAAAGATGTTTCATTAAAACTGGGTTGCTTTTGAAAACTGTTAGGTTACAGATAATAAGCTACCTTTTTAAACCTAAAAAAATAACCACACTTTGTGTTCACCAACATTTTGGTTGCATTTATTTTGTAATTTAATTACATAATTAAATAACTAAACGTAGATCCCTGCACAGCATGTTTCTTTTTAATCTGTATTCTGTAATAACCATGAGTTTTGGGGGAATGTACATCTCCTATAACAATTGTGTTACACAAGCAACAAAGCCGAGGATTGTCTTCTTGTAAAATAAGAGTTCATGTGTGCCAGCTAACATCTGTAAGCCCAGTCTGTTACAGCCTGCCTCTCTAGGTATTAAACCAATCATATCCCAAGTTGACGGGTCATGTGACCTACTTAAAATTGTCAGTGGCCAGCGACCTCACCTGATCTGCCATAATGTGAAGGGGAGTGAAAGTAGGGCACACATCCAACACATATCTCACACTCACACAAACACAGAGAGAGACTGAGCAGGTGTTGGTATGAAAAAAACAGGAGAACAGATGATGGAGAAGAAAAGGAAAACAAAGAGCAGTGAAACAATGAGATAATAATGGTTTTCCACTTGTAAATACAACAAAGAGAGTGAGATGTAAGCAAAAATGCCATAGCTTTGAAAAGGATAATTATTTTAAACAATGTGAGATGAGGAATTAAACGGAATGACGAGTTGGAACAAAGAGGAAGAAATATCTATCTTAAAATGAGGCTGAGTACTTCCAACACACATTAACATTAATAAGTGTTGATGGATTAATCATTTTAAGAAAGAAACAGGTTGAAATGATAAAACGTGCGCTCATTGTGATGTCTTAACTGCTGTGATGTCATGAAAACGTAAGTTCTTTAGTGGATTAGTGAGATAGCAGCCTACAATTAATAGGTTATTTTAGGTTAAGTGAATCAATTAGCTGTCTAGGTTTTCTCTCTCTCTCTCTCTCTCATTGTGATGTCTTAACTGCTGTGATGTCATGAAAACGTAAGTTCTGTACTGTCTTTAGTGGTTTAGTGAGATAGCAGCCTACAATTAATAGGTTAAGTGAATCACCTGTCTAGGTTTTCTCTCTCTCTCTCTCTGTGTGTGTGTGTGTGTGTGTGTGTGTGTGTGTGTGTGTGTGTGTGTGTGTGTGTGTGTGTGTGTGTGTGTGTGTGTGTGTGTGTGTGTGTGTGTGTGTGTGTGTGTGTTACCTCTCTGTTATCCAGATCAGCTTGTACCAGCGTGCCCTTGAAGCAGGGCTCCACGTAGCGAACATAGTCACTGTACTGGAGATGGAAGCACAATATGTAAGCCAAAATAATAAATCCACATGATGTCAACATGATACATTTTCTAACAGATGATGGTTAAGAGTTTTGAAGTTTTACAACCTTCAAATCAATAAATTCCTCAATATCACAAAATCCTTTAACTTTGGTACAGTTATATAATCCAGCCAACGTGGGATTCTGTAACACAGAAATTACTTTAACTGTTAATAATATGCATATATGACAGCTTTAAATTATTAGAGTATGATTATTAAGGTATGGAATAAAATGTTATTTTCACTTCCTGGAGTTCCATTGTTTGTTGTATTGTTAGATAGATTTTAGTGTTAAAAGAAGAACATTTGTAATTCCCTTTAATATTTCCAATGACATAAATCAAGTCAAATCCAAAATCAGTTTACATTATGTAATTCCTCACATAACAATGGGATTCAAACCCTTTTTCTGACTGAGGATGTCTCATTTTAAAGGAGAACACTAGCAAACATTTGCTGCATGGTCAGCTTTAAATTCTGTGTAAAAAGAGCTTAAGGGCAGCGGATTTGCAAGAGGCGTATGATTACACACAAAGTAATACCAGGATAAACCATGCTTATTACGCTGATATAGTTGTAGTGCTACATGCAGCCAAAATCCTGAAAAACCTCAAATCCGAATGGATTTTGAAGCTCTGATGTCACTGGAAGTAAATACATCGAGTGTGTATTTGTGCCTGTTGTGTCTACTTCTGTGGATTTTCCCAGTCTCTGTACTGCACCTGTATTTGAATTTATTATGTATTTATGTGTGTTAATCTCAACGTCAGGCCGCTCAAGTGTGTCTGGGTTTTTTGTGATTGTGTGTGTGAGACTCACTGCAATGATGTTAACAAAGTCGTTTTCTCCCAGTGTGTCCAGTATAGTATTGATGGTGTGTTTGGCTATGGTCAGTCTTAGTCCCTTCATACTGCCACTCACATCCACCACGATTACTACATCTTTAGGTGATGTGGCTGCCTGGATGTACCTACAAGGAGACAGAGAGGTGAGGTAGGAAGCAGTAAACACTTTATCTTCATTATTAAGTGAACCAAATAACATTCAGTCATGAACAGAGACTCTGTTATTTAACAGCAGAGAGAAGTACTTATTTTGAGCCTTATCCTTTTATGTTCTGTGAAACATAAAACTGGATTGTTCTTAGAACTTGATTTACTGTCACTGAGCACGCAGTAATATTTTCTAATTTGTTATTCAATAGATAGACCTTTTATAGGGAAGACATTTTTAAATGCTACAGAAAAGCCAAAAGTGTGAATAATAAAATGTACAATGGGTAATCTGCATGTGCTCATTGACACAGTCACAGAGCTATTGTTAGATTCATAAGTAACACCTGTGTGTTCGACTTTACAAGTGAAAATATCTGCTTCAAGAAAGTAACCCATTAGGAACCTGTTGTATCCATTCACTGCATTAATTGTTACATTATTTACAGTTACTAATAAGCAGGTGAAAAAAGAATAAACTGTTAAATACACTGATTCAGGAGGCTAGAATACCACTCAGAAATACTTGTTTACACGTGCAGCTGATTTAACAGGCTCAATTTGCAGAACAGTGGTTGAATCGGGCAGACTGGTTCCAACTAGCCAGACACACTGAAGAATCTACAGCTGATGGTCAGCCATAGATGTTAATGGCACCCAATGGCTGCTGGCTTGGAGTGTCGGTGCCGATAACCGGGCTTTCTGAGCTGTTATGGTTCTTCTGTTATTCATCAAAGAAGCACTATTTTGCACTTGCATTCTATACAGAAAGATAAAACACTTAAAAAAGCATCAATAAGGAACTGATGTGCGTTGTAATATAGCTTTACCAGTTTCTGTTCCTGCAATCAAAGGTGACAACACCATTTGCATCTGGAATCCACTGGATCCCTGGAGACAGAGACAGATTTAGCAAAGGAACACTCAGAACTTCTGCTTGGCTGCCTGGTTGGGCAGACAGATGAACAAATGGATGCACGGATGGATAGTGACAGATCAAATGAAGGAGAGATTGATGAGGCAGCGGATGAGTAAAAAAAGCTGTGTAACAAATCCTTTGCCAATTACACACACACACACACACACACACACACACACACACACGCACGCACGCACGCACGCACGCACGCACGCACGCACGCACGCACGCACGCACGCACACACACACACACACACACACACACACACACACACACACACACACACACACACACACACACACACACACACACACACACACACACACACACACACCACACCACACACACACACACACACAGGAGAGAACTCAGCTGCAGCCATATTTGCTGAACTGAGTCACAGGCAGCTTCCTGCATCATCAGTTGCTGTCTAAGTATGCTGTTTAGCTTGTGTAGCTGAATGTTTATCTACACCTCTGTTCTTGTTGTCTCAACACTGTGCCGACACTGGATAACTGTGCAAGTGAAAACACTTTGGGAAGCATGCAAGGTGTCCAGAATGTAGGAGGAGGTCCAAGCTGTTATCATAATTGAACAACATGCAAACAGTACAATCTGCAAACAGTACCAGCTACCTCTTTAATTTGATATGGTCACTTTGTTTTCTTTTTTTGTTTTTATATACTGCTACTCTTTTTAACATGGTGTACTTATCTGCTTTTTTTTTTTTTTTACTTATTAACGTGTGCATACTTTTTTTTTATATGTACGATTATTCTTTTCACTTTGTCTGCTCTATACTTCTGCTGTTGTTATAATGTAAATCTCCTCATTGCGGAACAAATAAAGGAATCTGGGTCTGATGTAGGATTTATGCACCTGGGTAGAGCCTAAAGAAGCCTGTAGCGCTGCCAAAGTACTGCCAAGTGAGAGTTGGATCTTTCTTGAAGTTATCAATGAACACGTCATTCAGAGCCTCAGACATGTAGGCTCCGTTCACAATATCTGTATCTACAGAAAGAGAAAGAAAGAATAATATGAATGTATTGCAGGCATTTAGATGGCAGTTTGTGCAAGAGCATGCTGTCTATAATGCTGCATATTCCCACTTCTGTACCTCTGTTGTAAACATTCGTAGGGACTTGAATGTTACTCAGTTGCGTGTTGACTGGCAGCTTATTGAAGTGTTCGTTTTTCTCCAGAGCGAACTCTCCTCCCAGCGACAGTGGATTCCCATCCTCATCCACCTTGTTGATCATCATGGAGTTAAAGTATTCGAACTACAGCAAAGGATAAGAACATCCATCAGATTATATCACCTGTTATCTGGATAAGTGATGGTGTGTCCACACTCCACATCTTAATTGGCTCAGTAGGCCCATATCAATTAATGGTAAGCTGGATCACCGCAGGACGGATACGGTGACCTCTCGAAGCGGAAGTAATTATGACGGGAGCAACGGAGGAAGGCAGGCGATGAAGTAAAAAGAGGGACAAAGACTGTGTAGGAATAAGTTGGGTTGGGTCAAACAAACACAGACTTTAAACCAGGAGTCTGCTGTTCATGTCCTTTTTTAAGCAAGAATGTTGACTTTAAGTACGTCATTTTAGAGCCTCATCCATTGTGTAGTACAGTACAATTTGTTCTTAATTTAACCAAGTCGTTTTTTTTACGCTTCAGTACAACAGACACATATGCAACAAAGGCAAATAATATTATAATTAGAACCAAAACAAATGTATATTTTGTGTAGAATCAGTTGTTCTTGTTGTCTGTTTTAGACTGCACAGAGGTTTATGTTCTTTTATCTCAATCAGGTTTATTTATAAGTAGGTTTACACGTACAAGGAATTTCCTTTGGTTTTTTAATGGTGCAGAAACAAACAAAATAACAGGAATGAAGGTAATAAAAAGAAGAACATATAGAACTATATACAAATAAATTATTAAAATACATACAAATAAATTATTAAAATATATAAAATTAAAACAGAAGAAATGACTGCCAATACACAAAAAAGTAGGTCAAATAAAAATGTGTGCAGTACATCAGAACTAATGTGGAAGAGCTGTGCAATTTTAAAAGAGGTGGCATTAAACAGAACTTTACAAAATATACAGAGGAATGTGCGAGGATGTGCATAAATGTAAACGCAAAGTGTCCATGGGGGCATTTATTACTAAAGCATACTGTCACATACCTCTAGAGTTTCGTTGTACTCGTGGTAAAGGTCAGCATCCTCTGCTGCTTCTGCTAACCTCTGTAATGAAACACAGCATGTTAAGGATGCACTGTGACCATGTAAGAAACAAGTTTATACAGACTAAACCTACAACATTATTTATCATTGTTTAAAAAAGAGAAAAGGTCAAGTCTGCAGTATTTGAGTGTGTTTGCATTTACAGAATGTATCGTTGTTACCTTCACAGATTTCATCTTCCTCCCAAGCATCTCCTCCATCTCCTCAGCAAACTTCTTCACCAGCTCCTCTCCGTCCACCTCCTCTATCTTCACCACTGCCTCCACATCCTTGTATTTCTTTACAACAGACATAGTTGTCGAAATTAGTAACAATGCTGATTATTTTCCAAGCATCCTCTATCAAATGCCTCCTTTTAGCTCCTAATAATATAACATTTCTTGAAAACAAACAACAGGTAGACAGTGTAAGAAAGTGGTGGTCGCTATATTGTGATCATATTTCCTTACTCATTTCGAAAATACACAATGAAAAACAACAAAGACGCATAACCATGGTAGAGAGATCCTGGCATTATACAATTATGCACACGCGCAGACACCACACATTTACAGTCTGCCGTAGAGATGAGGGTCAAGCCCTGGCTTCATCCCCTCCCCAGACCCCCTCTCTAATCTGCAATATGATAGAGTGACGCCAGAAGAAATCTACACTGCCTCCTGACTGACATCTGCTCTAATGTATCTCTGGCTGCTAGTGGGTCTGTGTGTCTGCTCACTGCACTATTGAATTAAAGCAGTTACATAAATGTGATTTAAGGGATTGCATGCTGTTGTTGCTTGTGGACACAGAGGTTAATTTCCGGCACTGATGATAAAAGCTTCAATTGTGATGACGGATGATAGAATTTCAGTTAATGCTTTGTTTTGTTTTTCTATTATCCTCAGTGAGATATTTACCCTTCTTTAAAGGGGCCCTAATATGTTTTTGTACATGTAAATGGTCTTCAAAGGCTAAAATCCCAGTGTTCCCTCCAGAGGGAGTTTCTCTCACACACAAAACGCCTCCATTGGACACCTTTGTTACTTCTGTATCATAGTGACATCACTGTGTGACACTCGCATTTCTATTGGCAAGCACTTAAACACATTGTATGTGATAGGCTAAGGGGCGCAACATCTCTAAGCGGTTAACCAATCACAACAGAGCCAGCCAGCTAACCAATCAGAGCAGACTGGGCTCTGGTTTCAGACAGAGGGTGAAAATAGGTGCTGCAGCACAGGCAGTAGCTTTTTGAACATTGAAGCATGGAGACATGTCCCAGTAGAGACACTAGATACTGGTATGAACCTGAACATGAGCTTTAAAGTAGACCTATCATGCTATATTTGAATAATATATTGTAGGGCCATACCTATATAAAACATGTCTGTGAAGTTTTTTTTTCAAAATACCAAACAGATCATGCATTTTAGCCATGCCTCATTTCGCTCTATTTGCTCTTTCCCAGCCCTGTTTTTGCAGGGGCTGATTCTGTGAGAAGTCTTCTTCGCTGCTTTTGTGGCAGACTACAGCGCCACTTACAGGCCTGGAATATGTACTACAGCGTCTCCAGCGCTTTCGAGCGGCAATGGCCGTGGCCCAACCCCCCATTCCCCTGAGAGGTGGAGAGTTGCCCATATAGGCGGAGCACCCCTTTTCTGACGTCAGAAAAATTCTAATCTGTATCAGCTCCGTTGCAGCCCCGTTTTTAGAGATTTGGGTATGGAGGAAAAGAGAGAGGGTTGTGTTTTCTGACACTTGGTGAGTTCCCTGACACACCAGGGACACATATTCATGTATAAAAGACGTACAAAAGTGCATTTTGCATGATAGGTCCCCTTTAACAATGTCCTCTTATACAACGGGAAGAGAAAATTGACATTTTACT